TCTCTCTCTCTCTCTCTTTCCTTCTATCCCCACTTCAGAAAAATCCATCAGCCCGATAATCGTTCCCATAAAACTGTCTGTCTCGGGACATTTACGACATTCAGAACCTTCAACGGGACGCTGGAACGTCCCCCTGGCCCTCCTCCGTCACTCTCTCCATTCCTCCCCTCTCTACCCGTAAAGACTCTACGCCAAGCGTGGGTATTGCACGCCTTCAGTGCTGCTCATCAAGTTACGTTGTTTGTCACGACCTATTTTTAAGGGTTTTGTATAATTTTTAAATACGCATCATTTTGTATGCGTTGGTTGTTTCTTGTTAGCGATCAGTTTTGTGATATATCAAAACTCTAGCCTCTCACCCTTCTCTCTCTCTCTCTCTCTCTCTCTCTCTCTCTCTCTCTCTCTCTCTCTCTCTCTCTCTCTCTCTCTCTCTCTCTCTCTCTCTCTCTCTCTCTCTCTCTCTCTCTCTCTCTCTCTCTCTCTCTCTCTCTCTCTCTCTCTCTCTCTCTCTCTCTCTCTCTCTCTCTCTCCCCCTCTTCCTCCCTCTGTTCCCCTACCTCTTCGTCCACCAGTGTGGCCCTTCACTCGGTAATAGCTTTAATGGCGCGCGCCCGAGATAATGGGGCCATTAAAGGACCCGGCAGTCCACTGTCCTGTCAATCTTACCGTACTGTCTCACTGGGGGAGGGGAGGGGAGGGGTTAAATTGGGTGCGTGGGAAAAAGACACATAAACAGGGCAGCTGTGGGGTTGGGAGGGGAGGGGTGACGTGACCTCTAGGGCGGGCCGCGACAGTTGATTGGATTGTTTTGCCAGTTGAAGCTACCGTGAAGTTAATTGTGAGGGCGAGTAGGGTAATAGGGTTGGTGATCATGAAGGATTACGGTTACCTGACCTCTATGGGTCTGTGATACTTTGGAAAGCGAAAAGATTTTTCATATGGTAGTCGGCATTGAATATCGCAAGTTGTTTCAACGTGGTGTAGTCTGTAACTTAAGGTTGAAGGATGAAAGTTCGTTTATCTTGGAAGGTAGATATAACATTGAAGGTTCGATGAAAATAAAGAAAGACACCGTTAGATGCCTGATTGTCTGATGCTCTGAGTACTGAACTCAAATCGTACATCATTTATTTTTCATCGAAAGGGTTTTGAAAATAAGAATGAATTCCAAAAATATTTTCATTGTGATATAGCTCAAGCAGGCTGACCTGGTGTCTGGTAATGAGTTACAATCGAAGATCGCATCTCCACGTTTCCAAACGGGAATAGTTCACCATTTTTTCACACCTCACTTCCTCATCAGGAAGCTAACGGCATCTTCCTTTATTCTCATCGAACCCAAATTCATCCCAATCTTACCCTCATCTACCTTCTGTTTCTAATTTTCCCATCGGACCGTATAAAGCCCAGACTTCATACCGTTTATATCGCTACCATCATCGGTCGTTGACATTTCTCTGCGCTCAGCTGCTCGCGATTGGTATACTGACGTGCTCATTGAACACGAAATTCCCATTGCCGGTATTGGACCGTAACGAATGTAGGGGAAGTTGGGGCAATGCCGGAGTTGGGGCAAAGCCGAAATTCGAGATATTTCGAAAACCGTAAGACATGGATGCCACCTGTCAGTGATGCTCTGAAGCTTAAGTGACTACAATTATCGCATGTTTGTTACGAGTCGTCATTCGGAATACTTCGACTGTGAGGGCGCCAAGAGCGTTTTCAAGGTACGTTTCCCTTGTACTACATGCGCCTTTGAAGCTGCATTTTTTACTCATTATGCTACCGTTTGTCTGGCCAATTCGGTCAAGTAATCTTTAGCATGTCTTTGCATAAGTGTGCTGCCTATTTGAAATTTATACAGCACGTTGAAAAGTTATGGGCCTGCAAATGAAAGTATGGCTGGCTGGGGTAATGCCGAAAACGTGCGATTACGCACGTGTTAAAAGCACGCTACGTGGACTTTACTGCTGTAGAATAGCAACGCGTATTTTTAGTCACACAAATTACACTTTCAACCGACACAACGGCCTGTTACCTATAAAGAATGATTTATCTGGCATTTTCTTATTATATCACACAATTATAACTTCCAGTGTGCACCGCGTCCTCAAGCTCTTGAAACGTGTGTCAGCTTTGATGAATTCTGGATAAAGTTTGAGATAAAATGGCAAAACATCAATGTCGGCATTCCCCGTAGATCATTTCTCCCATTTTCGGCTTTCCCCGCAGTCCGGGGCAACGCCGAAAAAGTCACTTCTTTGATATTTTTAGTTTGTGCGCTTAACGGTATGCGAATTCATCAAATGCGCCTGATATGTTTGAAAGGCAAAAGACTGGCCTCTCGAATGACGCCAACAAGAATAGCGTATGTTGTCTACCTTGCGTGCTACGGGCGTCAGAAAAAAAGTCTTCGGCGTTCCCCCAACTTCCCCTAATGTTCTAGATAATTCGTCTGTGTCAGAGGGAAGTCGCTGGGGCACGTGCGGTGCTAACTGGGGCGGCTCGGAGTGGCGGGGCCATTATTAGAAGAAGATGACAGGGTAGGTTTGAAGGGAAGTGCTGTTGGCGGAAGTCATGTGTGGTAAACGATGACGAGTGTTTGTTTCCTCTTGTTAAGTTTGCTAAGACACTATTTGATGACTACATCATTTTTTTCTTTGTACCGATGTTATTGAAGGAACATATGTATCGTAATGTTATGTGTTTTGATTCGATTTTCTAGTTGATATATTCCCATGGCTAGGATCGCTTTTCTTTTAGGATAGTCAAGTATCACATCGCAAAAAGTGGCCCTAATTTTGTTTTCGATCCACATTCTCAGACTAAGACTTCACGTTTCTATTCGTCACAACCAATGTGAATTCGACTGCAGCTGGTCATTCTGACTCGAGCATACCCATTGCCCAGGCCATCCGCGCCGCCCGGTCTTCACCTCCCTCCCATGTATCCTCTTTTCTCTCTCCCTAAGCGCCCTCTCTCCTCTCTCCCCTTCGCACGCACGCACGCACGTCCCACCCACACGTAGCACATTTAGCGCAGTTACTACTGCGCTTATGCTCTCATATCCAGTATACGTGCCCTGACCGCACGCTGTAAATATATGACATGATGTATGCCTCATGCGTGTGGCATGGCCTGGGCATTGACGTGCCCCACCAGTATTGTATCATAATGACGAAGGAAACGCTCGGCGATGCTCGCAATGACGGACATCATGCGATCTTGTGTCGATGATATAAAGGTCTATCATTGACAGCCAGTTTCTTTTATGCTTTATCGCACATTGTATTGTGTGACTTTGTACATGCCCCTTTAGACGGCGAACGATTTTATGTTGCGTGGATTAAAAAAAGAAAAGAAAATGGCATACGTTGAGTATCCATGACAGGTTGGATGATGATGTAAATAATAAACCAAATTATTACAAATGCATTCAAATATATTCAAAAAGACACACAAAGCTTTCGGTTCATGGAACCTTGATCACTGTGCGAATGAGTATGTATTCGCACAGTGATCAAGGTTCCATGAACCGAAAGCTTTGTGTGTCTTTTTGAATATATTTGAATGCATTTGTAATAATTTGGTTTATTATTTACATCATCATCCAAAATGGCATACATTTATACAGAAGAGCGACTCACGGCTTTCTTTTGTATTGACTAAACGCTAACAAAACACAGCTTCTAACTTATAATACCATCCTTCCTGACCATATCTTTAGCCACATCTCAAGCTACAACTGCCCAACTTGTCAAGCCAAACGGACATCTCCACATTGATTTTCTTTCCCAAACGACGCGTCAGTTCCGGCCGATTGTCAACTCAACATTCTTTGTCTCTACAACCCTCCAGGGGCTCCGCCACGTTTTTGGGATTGGGGGGGTCCGACCCAAAACACAAAACCTCACTCGCGGATCCAGGGTGGCATTGAGGGTGAATACCCCCCCCCCCCCCCCCGCTGCGCCCGAAAATTGAAATCGATGAAAAATTGCCGTTTTCTAGAGCACAAAAAAACTTAACAATTTTATTGGAAGAAATTTGCCTTAAACTGCAAAACCAGCCCAGCCAGCAAATTTGGTCTGGGCCGTAGCTGGTTTTACTCTAGCTAGCTCAGGCATTTGCTCCGGCCAAAGTACGGGCAAGGTCTGGGGCTCTACTGGAGCTGACATACGATCCCAGGGCTCGCCCGCACCACAGCCGGACTTAACCCATATCAGCAGTGCCGTACCTCAACCGTACTTCAGCCACAGTAAGCCAGAACAGCTTCTAAGCAGCCGGACCTGGCCGTAGGAACCCGGAATAGAGCCGTGGCAGGGAGCCAGACTTTGGCCAGACTTGGCGGTCCGATACCAACTCGGGAGCGCTACGGCAAAGGCTAGCTAACCGGAATAGAGCCAATGGCCATATCGACCCAAACCCCGGCTCCGACGGCGTTCCGTTTACACCGGCCCAACTCTGGCATGTTGGAGTTACCGGGCAAAAGTGACTTGAGCCAAACCAAATTACTGGTTGGGAAGGTTCCAATAGCATCCATAGTCCAATAGCATCCAATAGCTCTCTCTCGGCTCCGACGGCGTTCCGTTTACACCGGCCCAACTCTGGCATGTTGGAGTTACCGGGCAAAACGGACTTGAGCCAAACCAAATTACTGGTTGGGAAGGTTCCAATAGCACGAGGAATCGAAAACCGAGGAGCGGAGCCCATTGACACCGACATGGCGGCCTCTCAAATCAAAGTTCTTGGGGAATGGAGGCCGCTGTTGCGCGCTCCAAGGGCGGTATTGGCCATCAGAGAATGCATTGGGCTCTCAGTGACTGGCATGGCTTGGTAATTCGGGGACCTACATAGGCCTTCAGATATCTATGTAGGCTCTAAAGCCAGTGTACTAGGTAATGACACAAAACAAAACGACAAACACGAAACAAGTAACAACTGGCAAATCATTATGTCACTTTTCCGAGGTAGGCAGCTTTATCCTACTTTACATATAAGGTAACCAAAACACAGCGTCTGGTTTCCACTGCTGCTCGTATTTGGTACGAAAGACATATGTTGATGAAACGATAAAACAAATGCATTTCTCAACAGACGATAAACAACCTAAATCACATCTTTTCTGTCACATCACAGCCAATGAAAGACGCACAGCACTGATCAGTCACAGAATCACAGTCTCATGGCCTCAGACGGCGGCTGACAAGGTGGCTTTGCTGTAGTCTGGGTACCGCTGACAGTGCGCCTCCACAACCTGTAGCAGCTCCTGCAGCTCGAAGTCGGAGGTCGTGATGTGGCCGATGAAGTCACTAATGAGCTTTACTCCGCGCTCCGCAGTGTCGTTTGTGACCCGCAGGTGCAGGACGAATGTCGCCGGGCGATCAAAGTCCGGATCACCGTCCCACGGCAGCGGCTTTCGCAGAAATCCCGCGCTGATGCCGAGGACTCCGAACACTGTGCGGGATTCTGGTCCGATGAAGTCATCCAGTTCCAGTGCCTTCACTTGGCCGGCCTCGGTGGGCAGAGTCGGGAGATCGGGCTTGTCCATTCTGGTTGCGGTTGCCTGCTCCGTCGCATACTCGTGTATGACGTCTGCCATCCGCCGTTTCGTTGGAGGATCCACCAGGGAGCTGACCAGCGCCAAGGTAACCAGCTCCTGCGTGAGGTACCAGGTGTGGCGACCGTACACCTCCATTGCCGCCTCCGCTACCTTAGGGTCCACCCTGCGGAGAACGTTGAGGTCCTGGTACCTGCTGAGGTCGCTGACAGCGGCATCCGCAGCTGTTGTGCAGGTGAGCCACTCTTTGACGTAAAAGAGGCAGACAAACACAGCGAACCGCCGCAGCTTGTCGTGCATGTCCTTGGAGATGATGCCCAGCTCCAGTAGCTGATGTCGGAACAAGAACATCTTGATGCCGTAGATGACGTGGGCCATCCAGCGCGCTGTAGACATTCTCTCCTGGTAGGCAGCTGGGTAGGGCGAAACGCCTCAATGGTTTTACCCACAAGCCATATGCTGGCTCTGCTTCGGGATCGGCGTGCTGGATGAGCCTTCCCCGATCTCCTCGGGCTGGTAAACCCAGTTTCTCTGCCGCCTCGAGTGGTCGGCATGGCACGAACGAGTGGCCAGGAACAGTCTGAAAGCGAGAGAAATAAGATGGGTCCATTTCTATTACCGGTATACAAATGAATCCGAAATGTATCTACCAAAAATGAGCACGATTTAATTTGAAAGCGACCATCAATTAAATTATCTATATTAGCTGCTGGGTTATTGCAGCTGTTTTGTGTGAAGATTTTCATGGGAACCCAGCATAGCACAAAACAGAAAGCAGCCCATATTTAAAAGTGAGATGTGGAAATGAAACGACTGAAAATGTCCACTATTCATGCGACAAAACAAATTAGTGCTTTTATCGTTTTTGGTGCATATTTTATGCTGACGAGGCAACATTAAACAAACACACTAACCTCAGTTACGTAGCTGGTAGCGGTGCAGTAGAGTCGGTGGACGTGGCGCTGCGGTGCGGTCGGTGACCGGGGGACAAGTGACCGCGCCGACCGGTCGCGGCTCCCAGGTCAGCGTGGTCACGTGACCCAACCCCTCCGGTAATATGGCGAAGGCGGCACAGGGGCGGCGCGGGGATATAGGTGGGGGGGGGGGGGCGCAGACCATGACACGGATCTCACCACACATTATTTTACATTTATGTGTAGTGCTGCTGACACGACAACTGCAGGACTCGCACCGGAGAATGGCCTTCTCTGTGTACTTCGCACCGGAAAACTTTGACGCTCTTGCGCTAGGGTCGAGGGTTTAGCTAGAGGGCTGAAATTCGTTGTGCTAGCTATTGGGCCATTTAGCAATGGGAAAACACCAGGGGAACTTGTCCATCGAAAAGTTTTTTTTTTTTGGACAGGTCTAGTGACCTATACTGACCCGAAAATGGATATCAAAATGCTCCACTTGAATCAAAGGTCAGGTGATGGGGATCCTGTTGCAGTTGTGACTTGTGGATGTCCTACCTCTACGAACCTGCATTCAGAGCCCTGTGCACTGTGCAGATTATCGCCGATTACCTCAGAACGGTGTGAGGCTGCTTAGACTAGTATGGTGTTCTGAAAGACCGACTTGGACCCCCCCTGAAACTATAGGACGACCTCACATGGAAAAAGGATTCTCAGATCGATTTGAAACTCTCTTAGGGCAGGTATTGTGTCTAGGAGGTGTCTGGCAAGGTTGACCCCCCCCCCCCCCACAAATTGTGGCCAAATTCTAGCATACTTTCCTAATCCTAGCAATCTTAAACGCATTCATAGTAAAAACAAAAAGATTGGAATGATGACACTCCCATGTAGGCCGGCGAGTGTTGAGTACTTCGTCTGTCACGAAATTATACTTAAGGGTTCCCTACATTTCTAGATCTTCAATTCCTTAGCTCTACGACTGTCAACACATTCAAAGTGCATACTGTGAATGAATGATATAGTCATTTTTTACGCGAAAACAAGCTTATTGGTATCCGGAATATTGGGGGGTACTGTACCCCCCAGGTAAATTATTGGGGGGGTCCGGACCCCCGCGACCCCCCCCTGTGGCGGAGCCCCTGCAACCCTCCCCCATTGGTCAAACTGTGGCGAAAGCCTTTTGGACGTAATAGCAGGATTTGAGGCAGTAGAGAGAGGTTTCAGGCTCATTTGTTGGAAAGATAAGACGTCTCTAAAGCAGCCGTCCAGTCGAAGGAAGTGCCACTGAACTTTAGGGTGACGCGGAGTGTTGATTTTATCTGTGTGGATAGGGTCATTGCCTTTGCTGAGCAAACGTGCTCGTTGCATAGAGATCTTGTGACTTGGACGAAGTATTTCGTGTCAGGACTGAGATATCCATTCCGCTATCAAGATAAAGATATCCCTCATAAATCTAGATCGTATTTTTATATAGAGATGCACATTCTGCTCCTCGACAAAACTCCCGTGCTGTGAATGCCCGCCCACCCCCTCTCGGTGGTTTCTTTTTCTCACGGTGGTTCCCACGATAAGGACGAATTTCCCAGGGCTGACAGTAGACAATTAGACCGTACCGACACGCCGTGAACGTGATAGGCTGGTGATGGGCTTCTTGTAACGGACCTCGGTAGTGATTGACAGGAGATGAAGGCTAAAACGGGATAGATCCATAGTTATCTGAAAATAAACAGCACATTTTGAACATCATTAGTTCGCATATCATTCAAATTCCAAATGTATTTGCAGCAAGTTCAAATCCAACCCCCCATTGGTACCCTTGAAAGATGTCCATTGCCCAGCATATGAAGATGAATTTCTTAACTTTTTATTCTGCTTCAATCTGTCCTTCCTTTTCTTCCTATTTCTCTTTCTATGTCTCTCTCCTTCTCATATCTCCCTCTCTCTCTCCGTCTCACCCGTCCTCCTCCTCCCCCTCCTCCTCCCTCTCCGCCTCTCATCCACCCTCCCTCCCTCCTTCGCTCGCTCTTCTTTGTCCAACCCTTCATCCCTCCCCCAGACGAGACGTCCTAAACGTCTCGTCACAAGTCGTGTCACCGTAACGTTTCTTGTCTCCGTGACGACTCTGACATGACCGTGACGCTTCCGTGACGTACCGTGACGCCTCCGTGACGCCTCTGTAACGCTCATGTGACGCTACTGTGACGGTACTGTGGCGGTGACGGTAATTTCACGCGGTGTTCAGTGGGTTGTGTAGACAGCTGCTCACAGTGCTGACAGAGACAGAGGCAGAACACAGCTTCAGCTGTGTTGGAGTTTTGACACCGGAAGTTGACAGCTTCCGGTTTCGTGGACGATATGTGACAAAGAGAAAAGCACAAAACAATGAAGAGCTATGTTTTGTGACGTGCAATGGTGCATGTGAGGAAATTACAAGATCTTGTTAATACTAACACTTGTGTTGATGAACCTAAACTTCAATGGGCATATCAGAAGCGTTTTTCAGTGGTTTTACATGAACGCTATTGTTCCTTTTCTTTTGTTATGGCTTGTTTGCTTGTTTTGTTGACTGTTGTTGCTGTCGGCTGTTGTTTTGTGTCGGTTTATCATTTTTTTGCTGTTTTTTTTCACACTTTATGTGAAGCGCTTCAGGTTTATGATTCACGTAATTCGTTCTGTCATCGACTTTTGACCTAAATAATATTGCGAAGCGCTGCACCCATTTGAGAGCGGTCTAAAATTATCATAATTGAGTCTTCATGATACCCGTTACAAACTTCATATACCGAGAAACCGCTCGCTGCGCACGCTGCGAAGTCACGTGACTTTAATACCAGGCCCCGCCGGCGGCTGTCAAGGAAGCGGGCCGTCTCGGATGCGCGGTCACGTGGTTAATCGACTCGTGCCATCCCTCGGGCAAACTGTGACTAGTGGAAACTAAGTGTGAAGTTTGGAGGACATGTTCCATATAAAAGTTGGAGTTGACTTTTCTGCTTGGAAGCATGACATCGTACATTTTGTTTTAATTTGGTCTTGATGAATGAAAAGTTAGTGAAGGTTGAAACATTTTCCCATTTCAAAATCCAGTTCCATGCCAGGCTTATCGCTTCAGCTGTGTACTATAAATTAAAATGGTAAAAATGTGCCCACAGTGCGAAAGCGCTTTGGCCAGCTGAGTGTCAGTTTTTATCCACAATGCGGTTCGGGTTGAAGTCTTTACGCGTGCACATACGAGCATCGGGCGATTTCCATCGTGAATTACAGCGCACAGAGTGGTTATATTTACTCACAGTGCTATGAATATCAGAATATACGTAAAGAGCTGTTTGCTGTATTGCGTCAGCCGAGTATGGCACGGGTTGTCCACATTGTTCGCATTGCGGTCCTAATACGAGACTTCAAACAAAACATTGCTGAATTTTGACCAGTGTATTAGCTATATTTGCCCACAGTGCGTCATAGATGGGAGCTGGCTGACAGTGTCTGTTAGAAGGAAATGGACCCGGGTTTGTTCAGTAGAGTGTTGGATGGGGTTAATTGCGGTTCGCTGGGCTAATGCGAGCGCAAACATTGGCTGCGATAAGGGTTGAGGGTGGATGAATCGAAACGGGGTACGATCCCGGTAGAGCCAAACAGCTCCGAACGTGCCAGTGCCAGTGCCATGCCAGTTATGGTTGCTAAATTCGAATTCAGCCACAAAAACTGGCCTAGAAACATGTAAAACTCGAAAAAGTGAGCCGAGGTCATCAAAAGTCAATGACCTGACCTGACCTTCAGGTGACCTTGACACCCACCCTAATGCAAGGGACCAACATCACTTCACATGTTTGAACGCTTGAAACCACGAAAAGACCGCAAACGCGCGGCTAATGCGAGCCGACACACGCCGAATCGCGATTCCGGCCAGACGTGATCTCGAAAAGTAGGTCACAGGTCAAAGGTCAGTTTGGTCTGGGTCATAAAATTTTCAGGGTAGGTGTAAAATTGATCAACTCGATGGTACTGAAAGATTCGTCGCGATTGGCCGCTTTCTACGCGAGCTATTCGCGAAAAACCGGGCGGCGTCCGTTTGACCCCCCCCCCTTATACGGGCGAGGATTGACGCACGGTCCTTTATATTGCCTTTATATAGTAAAAAAGTCCCCACCCGAAGCAGCTTTCGGCGGCCTTGTTTGGTGTTCAATACGGCCTCAACCCGCTGCGCTGCAGATTTCCGCACACTTGCCACCCATGACGAGGATCGCATCCCGCCGCACGGTGCACCAACCGGCCAGCGGTCCTGCAATGCGTCGCTAGCCCTCAGCACAGATGAATATACCCCTAGAGAGGTAGCTCAGGTTGGGATTTGCAATAGAAAATCACAATTCGTTAAGAAAAGTGATGTTCGTTATTGAAAAGTCCCAACCTTCGTAACGAGTGGATGTAAGTACCTAATGAATACGTATACTGCTAATGAGCTGAACTTGCAGGTAGGCTTTATGAGCCATTACCCTCCTCAACTACAGAAGTCATAAAAATTCCTCCAACTGGCCTCACGCCTAAGAAGCCTCCCAGTTCATTTAGAGTCATCCATCGGCTTTCTTTTCTTGCAGGCGATTCCTTTAACGAGGAAAACACTGGAGTCCAGTATGACTCCATAGATGCCATCGTCAAATTTGGAAATCCAATCTTAGCCAAAACTGACATGGTCAGCGCTTTTCGCATTGTTCCAAGTCACAACAACCGCGGGAACAAACAATAATAATGCAACACAGGGTACAACAACAGCAAAAAAATGCACACGGTTGGATGTTCGGAACTTCAGCGCCCAAAAATCTCACCACCGACTAGAATGCGATAAAAATATGTCGTGGTACATATGGGATTGTATCGATAATATTCCAGCGGTCATGCGAAGTAAACATCCTGGTGGGGTAATAAACCTATGGGTGGTCTTCATGGGAGGTGCACGTGGTGCAAGCTTCTTCATCGAACCCGGATAAATGAGCACTTCTGATAAATACAGCCGCACTCTGGCACACTCACGTGAGACCGTTGTTAGAGAGGATCACTGACAGTCCAGATTACGTCTTTTAGGCCAGGTCGGGTTAGGTCAGAACAGGTCAGCCTGTAGGGGTCCTGCCGGATATTCGTAATAGTTGTTCACTGCCTCTGACAACTTCATGTTACGAA